TTACTAATTAAAATATTATTTTTAAATAAAATGGTAATAAGTTATTCTATAGATTATTCTTTATTGAATAGATTCTTCTATTAAAATTCTTATGAACATGAAAATTCTTTTTAACATTTAATAACCTAAAAAGTCATTTAATCAAGTCAATCACATTTTACTTTGTTTTTTATTTTGGATTTAATAATTCAATAACTGAATTATCACTACTTAATTTTAGATCTGAGTAACAACTACATTCTGGTGATTTTAAATAATTTGCACATTCTTCATCTGTAGAAAATACTAAAATTTTTTTAATATATGAGATAGGCCATTTTCCTCTAAAAGAGCGTCTAATTTCATCTATAACTAATGAACGAACAGCAGGTAAGAAATACAATTGTATGTAATGAGAAAGTAAAGAAGGGATTTTAGTGTTTTCTAATAATGATGAAATTTCAATAACTTCACCATTTTCAAAGTATTTTAAAAGTTCAATTACAAACTGAACTAATGAAGATTTTTTAATGTCATCAATAAATTCATAAATCTTATTATATAATCCAATAGTTGTTTTCTTTTGAATAAATTTATGTAAATCAAGTAATAAAATAGAAACACATTCAAAATGAAGATCATCTTTAACATGAATACATTCATCCAATTCTAATAATTTACTAATACACACAATAAGTTCAGTTAGGTTTTGATTTTCAAGTTCTATTTGAATATCATATTGATAAACTTCTCTAGTGAATTGACAATTTAAACCTTGAACTACCATATCTTGTCTAATAGATTTTAATTGATCTGAAATATAATTATAGTCATGATTAGTTTCATATTTTGATTTTACAAACTCAAAAGACTTTTTTAATATATTAAGAGGTCTGATTAATGTTGGGTCTGTATTTTCAACTAATCTTACATATGATTTTTCATATTTTTGGCAAGTTCCAATAATTTTGGTATTTTTTTTATTTGATAATGTTGGAACATCAGGAGTTAGAATAATAGGTGAGTGTTGATTTAAGTCACTGGTGGTTATTGGTTTTTTATCAACAATTGGTTGAGAAACTATATTAATTTCTTCAGGGTTGATTTGTATAGAGTCTTTAAAATTTGGTTGTGAAAGAATTCTTTTTGGTTGAATGGTTGGAATATTTTGTTGTGATTGAACAATTGAATTTGCTTCTTGTTTCATTGAAGCTTTTAGTTTTTCTTTGTTAAATGATTCTAACAAATTTTGTAATGTGTTTGTTTTAGGTTGATTAAAGAGACTGATGTTTGAAGATGAAGTGTTTAAAGTATTAAATACAAAAGTAGTTTCTTGTGGTTGTTGTTTTCTTTTTATCTCTTCAAAAATTTCACTTGTTGTTTTATGAACAGTGAATTCTATTGAATTAAAGTCAATAGACTTTTTTGTTGGGAGTTTAGTATAAAAACTGGTATTTTCATTTGGTTTGATTAAAACATTGTCTTCATCATGAGGTTTTTTTTTCATTAATTCTAAGACTGTATACTCATCACATTGTTGGTTCATAAGTCTCATTGCTTCTAAAGTATATCCAACAACAACATGAACATTTGTTTTTTCTAATGGAGTTTCTTTCCATATTTCATTAAAAATTTGTTCAATTTGCATTTTGTTTAAAATGTATTTTTTAGTTATTTTTTATAATTTATAATTTAAATTTTATTATTATAGTAATTATTATTATTATTTTATTATTTTATTATTTACTTTGATGTATTTTAATTTGATCTTTAATCTATTAAAAAAGGAAATTAATTATTTTCAAATGAAATTCTATACTTACTGTTCATCATCTTTCTTTATATGAAATTTGAAATTATTGATTTTTAATTTTCCATGACCTTTAGTTGTAGTAGATTTTGATTGTTTAAGAATATCTTGTTGGTCAAGTTGAGGAAGTAACATGGTATTATCATTATTGTCAATAAACATAATAGCTAAAGCCATACTCTCACTCTTTGGTCTTTTCTTTTTAATTTCTTCTTTAATTTCTTCTTTTTCTTTATCATCAGCACTAACTAGTTTTAGAGTAGAAGGTGTAAATTGTGTTTTTTTCATTTCACGATTTCTCATATGTTTTTTTTCTACTTCTTTATCTTTTGTTTTCAAATCTCTACAAAAATCTTCCCAAATAGATTTTCTAGCTTTTCTTTTTGGCTTTTCTGGAGTTGATAAACGAACAGTTTTTGTCATTTGATTTAGTAATTTATTCTTGTCATTGTTTGAAACGTTTTGATATTGAGGATACAATAACCCTTCAGTGTTGCATGTATCACGAAAAATAAGTGGGTAATATTTAATTAAGAATGTACATACTATGGACTGATATTTAATAGATGATATTGCACTTTCCCATGATTCTTTTTGTGAACGAAGTAACGTTGGAGCAATACAAATAGCAACATTATTTGCTTGCATTTTATGTACATCACTGTTAATAGTAAAAACATAAAATAAGTTCATATAGAACGCAAGTATTTTTAAATTTCTTGATGGTAATGTTTTAACTAATGCATGAAATGTATTAATAGCTACACTAAGAGCACTAGATTTGGTGTATTGATCCATTTCGTATGTTTTTGCACAATCAATAAAGAGGTCATATGATTTGAATGTAATCAATGGTTCTGGTAATTCTCTTAAGAACATTAATATAACACTTGCAACTGCATGAACATCACTTAAAGGATGTTTGATTAATGATAAAAAATCACCTTTTCTTTCAATAGTTTTCTTCATATTATCAGCTAATTGACGTTCTCCAGGTATTCGAAATATTCCTTCAACGACATCTATACTAATAATTATTTTCTTTCATTATAGAGATAAACTAGGCAAACTTCCCATTATAAATTGTCCTGCATCAGTTAAAAACAATGGGACATCATCAATGATCATACTCAAACTAATTTTATTGATATCAACACCAAATACTCTTGCTATCAATTAGTATTACTTTTTCTTGTATAAATATTCTTTCTTAACAATTTATAACAAACGTTTATTCTTAGAAAAAAATGAAAATCCAAAAGGTTTTCTTCCTAACATTAAAATAATACTTTTTGTAGTTCAGTTTTAACTTAAAACACAACATTTTTAATTTCTTTTTCCTTCTTTGTTTGATAAAGATTAATGAATTGATTGTATTTTGTTCAATAGTACTTAATGAATTAAAATAATGATAATTTTATTATTTTGATTATTCAAAACAATGAAAGTTTGAAAAGTTACCAATAATAAATCTAAATGTTTTTAATAAAAATGAATAAAAAAATTTAATTATTTCTTTTTGTTTTAAATTCCATCTTAATTTACTTGACGTATTTCTCCATTTACATACTCCATAACTACATTGATTGAATTAAGTTTGTAACACTCATAAAAGTCAGCCTCAGGGAATTGAGGTAATCCTTTAAAGAATTTACTTCCTGAAGAATGTTTTATATCTTCTATCATTTCTTCTAAAGTCATTTCTGGTTGTTTTCCTAGATATAACGCTTCTAAATAACGACCATATAACAAATCTTCTCTACACGTTATTTCATTTCCGGAGGCTACAAACGTTACAAAAGGAGGATGGAGTGCTTTTAAATATTCAATTGTTGCTTGACAATTATTAATACTACACATGAACACTCTGGTAACTTGTGGATTGTTTCTACAAACAACCAGTGATTGAGTTCCTTGTTGAGTGTTATGAATACAAATTTTATTTTTTATTTTTTCTTTATTACTTCTGTATGATAAGTCACAATGAATTGACTACATAAATTATTTTAATTAACAAACATTAATTCTGTTGGTGAATTACCAAAATCAAAACCATCATATTTAATTCCCTGTCTTTCTCCTATCAATAAAACTTCTGGATGATCTTTTTTAGTTTGTAAACTTGTCTCAATATCACTTTGTGGAATAATTTTTTGAGCATTACATAAAAATAAATGTGCCTCAACTGATGAAGCTCTTAAAACATCAATAACAACACAAACTCCTTTAGCCAATTGATGTTGAGATGGAGATATTATGACATTAGTATTCATATTAAAAAGAATAATCAACTAAAAATAAAAAAGATTTAAATAAAATTTAAATAAACATTTTTTTACTTTTTTTTAATATCATAAAACTTCTTCAAAAAAAGAATTTCAATTCATTTTTTTCTTATTTACTTTTTAGTTAATCTATTAACCAACCAAATATTCCAATTCTTTATTGGAACTTTTTGATTCGTGCATTCATTATATAACATTGTGTTATCAAATTTAGACGTTGTTGGAAGTACCATTTTAATTGATAATGCCAATGAATTAAATAATACCCTTTTATCAGTTTCATTTTCAACACAAACCATCTCCCTATCATTAAACTTCATTACCAACTCAGCATATTCTTTTTTAATGTTTAAGATAAGATCTTCTAACTGATTGACAGTCTGTTCATTTTCCATAAGTTTAGTGTCTTTTTCTTCAATTAGTTTCTTGAAAGTTGCAACACTTTCATCTCTTTCTTTTTCAGCTAATTCTTTTTGTTGTCTTTCAATTTCTAATGACTCTCTAAGGGCATTTAATTCTTGTTTTAATTTTAATACCTCTTCATCTTTAGTTTTCTTTTCCAATTCTTTTGTCTCTGACTCTTTCTTTAATGTTTCAATTTCTGTTTTTAATGATTTAATCTCTAAATCATATTGGTTTCTAAGCCTTGTTATTTCTTCATTTTGTTCTTCCATTAATTCTTTCATTTTCTTCACTTCATCTCCTTTTGATTCTCCAAGAACAAAAATCTCTCTTTTAAGGGATTGTATTTCTTCTTTTTGAAGTTTGTTTTGTTTGTCATTAGACTCTCTTTCTAATTCATAAGATTTTTTTATTTCTTCAAGACTCTTTTTCAAAGTTAAAATCTCATCTTCCTTTTCTTTCTTTTCAACACTATGTAAGTTATTTTCATTAGTAAAGTCAATTTTTATTTTTTGAATCTCTTGTTCTTTTGCAGCCAATAAGCTTTGAAGTTCTTCTATTTTTTTATTTTGTTCTGCTTCTTTTTGACTTTCTTGTTGGGTTTTTTCAAGACCAGACTCAGTTTCGTTTTTAGACATAACTTTTTTTGTATCAGAAACTGTTGATTTTTGTTTCAAATCATCAACAACTTCTTTTGGATTATTAGACTGGTTTTCTAAATGACTTGTTTCAGAAGTTGAATTCATTTTAACTTCTTCTTTTGAAGGATCAACCCTTCTTGGAGTTAAAACATTCATTCTTTTCTTTTGGTTCATAAGACTAATTAATTTTCTCACAATCTCTTGAGTTATATTGATTTTACTTTCCCATTCTTTAAGTTCTTTTAGCATTGGATCATTTGTAAGATCACAATTTGTTTCTATATATCCTTTTGGTAATGCAATCTTTTCGAAATTTGTATACATTATCTCAAGTTGAGAAATCATTCCAATCAAAGTTTTAGCTTCTTCTGGAGTTTCAGAGTTATCAGGACTTTGATACATTTTTTCTGCATTTTTAGCTTGGTCAATCATTTTCTTTAAGACTCTTTCTAACCTATTTTTAAGTTGATTACGAGCACGAATTTTTCTTTCTCTAAGTCCTTGTGCAATCTTTTTTAACATTTCATTATCTTCAAAATGAGTTTCTTTCATAATAAAGAATGTTAAATAGAAATATAAACAATAATCATCAACAGTATTTTCAACAATATTCTCAGCTTTAACTAATTTAGGGATTCTCAATTTAGAGTATCCAATGTCAATACATTTTTGAATGTTTTCTAAGTGATTTGAACCTAAACTTTTTAAATCAATAATATCTTTTTGTAAGTAATTGAGTAATTTTGCTAATAAAACACCTTCTGATAATTCTTTCTTTAAATCAAAATCAGTGTTATTAATTTTTAAACTCGATTTAATCCATTTTGCAAAGTGAGCCATTTTAACAGGGCAATCTTAAATATTAATTTCTATTTTTCTTTATTAATAATGAATTAATAAAAACAACAAACTTCCAAGTCTGTATTTATTTAAGATTTGATACATAAATGAAAGGATTCCTTTTCTATCTCCTGCTAATATTTCTTCAGCAGAACTTAAGATCTTAATTCCATCGTCTTTAGCAAATTGAATAACAGCACTTAAATTTTGAATTTTCTCAATATCTTTTAATGGATTTTCAACTGAATTAGGAATATCACATCCACTAAGATTTCTTAGTAAACGAATTAAAACTAAACCATCTTTAAGGTCTTTGAGAATATTATGTACAAATGGTTCTTCATTTATAATATAATTAATAAAATTAGTATATGCCTATTCTTATTAGTTATTTTTTTATGTTATTTTAACTTCTTTAACAAACGTATAACTGTTGTTCTTCAAGTGATTTAGTTTTAGCAGCTACATTAGCAAGAATAGTATCTGACATAATTTGATTTTTTTCTTCCTTTTAGAGTTTAAGAGTCATACAACAAAACCCTTTTTAGACTTTCCATCAACTTCTGTTTTGAGATAATCAAACATTTGTCCACAATTGATTTCTTTTTAATGGCAATTAATTCTTTTTGTTCCCATTTCTTTTTCTATATTTGATTAACTTTTCATTAATAACAATGACGTGTTGACATTCATTCTAATGAACTAAGACATTATTATTGTTTAAAGCAATAACAAATAATACAAAGAAAAGAACTAAAATATAAAAATGAATATAGTAAAAATATAGAAAAATAATAATAAAAAATAGTAATAAGCGTTCAAACTATAAAACTATTAAATATAATAGGAAATGGAAGAGTATCAATCATCTGTAAGACAATATAATAATGTTCATTCACGAATGATGATGATGCAAAAAGAACTTTATCGAATAGAGAATGTTATTGATGAATTACAAGTTCAACCAAAAGAAATTTATGTATCATTAGGTAAAGCTTTTGTGTTATCTGATTATGACAAATTAAAAAAAGATATTAAAGAAAAGCATGACAATTTAGAAAATGATATTAAAAAACTTGAACCAATGGATGCTTCTTTAGCCCAAAAAGTTAATGATGCTCAAGAACGATTGATTAAATCAATGAAAACTCAACAAAAATAATAAGAATTTAATTTAGTTGATTAAGTTTTTATTCTTTTTCCTTATTTTTGACTAACCAAATCAAAACTACCTTATTAAAAGAATTTAACTTCTTAAATTTCTTCATGAAAAACTAGGAATTCTTAATCAATGCAATTTGATTTAAAGGAGAGTGAAATTATTAAAGAAGTTACTTCTAGAAATTGTAAGAGGGTTGTACTTCAATTCCCTGAAGGTCTTATTTCTCAAGGTGTTGGTCTTCAACAAAGACTAGAACAACAATTACCAAATGTTGAATTTATATTATACACCGACTACGTTTATGGAGCATGTTGTGTTGATGATAGATTTACAGCTTATATTCATTCTGACTTTCTTGTTCATTTTGGTCATTCACCATTAAGTTTGTTAGTAGGGTTCTTTCTTTTTAAATATATTACTTTTTGGAATATAATTTAATTCTGTTAGTTCCTCCACATTGTTTAAAAGTTGCAAGTATGTATATACCTGTTGTAGCTGATATCCCTCTTGAACCATTAATAAATAATATTAATAAACAATTAGATAAAAAATTAGACCTTGCAATTGTTGCAACAATTCAATATGAACCATATCTACAACAATTAAAACAATTATTAACTCAATTCAATGTTATTCTTC